CTTGGTTTGGAAAAATACACAATACTGCAAGGTATCAGTTGACTAAAGCAAAAGATTGCAAGTCCACAGTCTCATTTGGCAAAAATCGACCAAAGTTAAAGATATTTGTGCAAATACAATTTTAAAAAATGCACAGAAGTAATTTTTTTTAAAAAAAAACAGCACATAACCCGAGCACCAAAATGAAACACCAGAGAAATATTAACTGATTTTTTTTCTACACAGGGAATAGAAAAAAATTCTAAAAGGAACAAACTTGAGAAATAATCTCTGGCTGACAAGTGTTTAAGAAAGACAATACATTAGTGTTGCTGAATTTCACCTTGTTTGAGACAAAATGCACTTGACAATGATTCTATCAGACGTACATATACACACAAATTGTTTGGCTGCAGGCAAAGCCCTAATGAAAGTCAGTCTTCATACAATACTATGTGGTAGTTAATGCAGTCAACGTGATTCAGGAACTCATAGGACATGTTTAATAGGTTCATATTATCATAACAAAAAGATTATTTTCTCGGGGGGGTGGGGGGGTGGGGGGGGGTGGGGGAGGAAATCTCACTGACCGCATCGTTCTCACCAGTTGTGGAAAGTTTAATTCAATCACAGGTGTAAATGTTCTTTATTGTCTGTGGGTAATACTGGCCCTCATCATTGTGCACAGAATTTCTCAGTCAATAAGTGCTCCTGATTCTGGTGCTATGCCCCACCCCCAACCCCCTCCCTAATTTCCTTTTACTTTCAAGATAGAATATACGGCTTCTTTTCCGATTCATGTAAAAAAAACTCAAACATCTCCTATGTGGGATCGGAAGGAAGCTTGACCAGAATTATTTGAATCATTATTTTAAGACTGAGAAGAGTACATGCTATTTACTAAGACTAAAATTCTTAACTCTCTGAGCGTTAGTCAGATTTGTACCAAAACCCCCTGAAATGGGACAGCTATTCTTAGGTTATTAGTTCAAAGGCTCTCTCCCCCCTACAGTGTCATTCTATCTGCTGCCCTAGGCATGAATAGCCAAGTCAAATGGTTCTCATGATGGGTGTGTCCTTCCACCATCACTTGCAGCCTTCTATCTATTAGAAGTTATATTTGTCTGCTGTAATGCTAAAGGTCACCTTGTTTATTCAAACTAGGTGCTCAATGGCCACGTTTATATATCTGAATTTTGAAAAGGAATGATTGACTCGTTTTTAAAAAATGATAAATTTAGAAAGTACCAGGACTCGACAAGTCAAAAATATCATGAAGAAAGAAGTGCTTACATGTTCCTTTGAAAAAAGGCCATTCCCCGCTTGCCTACCGTATCTCGTATTATTAAACTTTCACCATCTGACAAAAGGGAATAGGAAGCTCCTTTTCTGAATGAAGACACTTTCTTAAAAAAAAACTTTGGTTCTGGGAAGCGTAGGTTTCAAAGCGTTTCACCTAATACAGATTCCAATCCGCAACTCAGTGACATTCTGTGGTTCACCACAAGCTTCATCGTAAAAAATGGCTCATTTGAGAAAGAAATGGGAAGAAGAACACTCTTTGTAACATGCTGCTCAATGGAACACATTTTCACATGGCTTCCGTGAGAACCCACTGTTTTCTTTGACCTGCTCCTTGTATAATGTAATCGGAAAACTCTGCCTAATCCTTTGCTGGAAAACGACTGATAACTGCTTGTCATATCACCCAAAAGATGTGTTGTGTATTTCAAACATAATGTAGTGCAAAACATTTCGGTTTGCAGGCTGTTGAGTACTTGGGTACATACATTCAACATCTGAATGATTTAGAATACTTTCATTTATTTGCATTTTTGGCCAGATATTTGTTGTTGGGCCTGTATTTTTGAAGAGCTATTTCCTGGTGAGGAAGGAAAAAAAACCCTAAAAAAAAACTGGATCGAGTTACAGCTTAAGACCTCCTTTTTTTCCTCCTCTCACATAACTTGTGCAAAGTCAGCAGGTTTTTTTTCTTTTTTTTTAAAGGTTGCAAATAAGTAATACTTCAGCTTCATTGGCATTGCTTTCCGCTGGAGTATGAGCCGGCCACAGCAGGGACAGTCTGTCTTTGTGGAACTGGGCGGCCTCCTGTAGTGGATTGCCTTTTTTAAAAGGGTGATGATGGTCGTTAAGAAAAAGAGTGTATAAAATGATATAGCAATAACATACATCACCACGTAGTGTTGAAAAGTGCATGACTGGATTCATGTACTAGTACTAGAGACACACTATTTATTTTCCGACCGGGAGCTGCAGCATGCCAGCACCCTTTCCGTTGCTATTTCTAGCAGATAGTTAAACAAGCTGTGTTTCATTTTTTTTCCTAAATTCGAAAAAGAAAAAAAAGAGAAAAAAAAAGGCCAGAGCTCATTAAAGCTAACAAAAATGAACCAAACCGCCCGGCACACTTCGCTTTCTCTTCACAGCCTCCTTTGCTGACAGGAAGTCCCCGACAAGATAGACTGTGAACTAAAATAAAAACTAACAACCATTCAATAGTGTAACACAGATGAGCCAATAGCCTCGCTTTCCCATTTTTGGAGTCTGTAAAGAACAAAAGTTCACTGAAGTTGGATCACACAGAAAGTTAGAACCGTAGAATTTTACAGCACAGAAGAAAGCCATTCAGCCCATTATGTTGGTGCTGATTCTTTTAAGAGCAATCTGTTCTGTCCCATTTGCCTGCCCTTTCCTCAGTCCTCTCTAGGTTCTGCAATCATGTTGATGCTTTCAATTGATCTGCCTGTGATTGCTTTTCCCGTATCTATGCCTTGGATTTGTCCATATTAGGTCTGGGGAGTGGAATTTGAAAATGCTCTTTTTAGATGTTTGTGTCTGTCAAAATCAGCAGCCTTCTTTCTTCTTCTAACCAACCCCCCCACACACCTAGATGCCTGTAGAATGAGAAGCTGGACTTGGGAATCTGCTTTAGATTTCTACTCCTCATCAGTCGGAAAATCAACTGGCCTTTCTTCAATTTGGTACTCCTCTTTTTTTAAATATGTATAAAATAATTATTTAATGCCACAGATAACAAATGTAAAATGATACTCCCGAGATGAAGCAGGACAAATGCACGGGTTACTAAAATGATTTACAGTGTTTGATTTTTTTTGTAACTTATGTGTGTGTGTGTATTATTCAGATACCAGCCATCAAGTGCTCACAATCATAATAATAATAATAATAATCCTTGCATTTGATATAGCGCTTTTCACGTCGGGAGGACATCCCAAAGCGCTTATAGCTGTTGGAATACTACGGTTATGGATGGAACCTGGGTCATCTATTTCGAAGACCGATAAAAATTGTTAAAAAGGTAACTCGCTAATGTTTCGGAGGGGTTGGGTTCTGAGGGAATTCTATCTGAGATGGGGATGAAATTCCTTGTCACAGTAACAGGCTTCCTCCAATTGGCCGGCTGGGCAACATTAGAGGTGTTGATTGCTGCGGGCCTCTGGGAGCTAACTCGGGGGTGAGTGAGAAATAAGGGGAGACTCGAGCTACGCTCACTACTGCTGACCTTCAAAATTCCTTGTCATGTGGCCACGCTATCGTTTACCTGTGATGCTCCCCTATGTTTGCGCAGTCAGCCAACGCTCACTGTCATGGCTGGCCTGTGTAAAATGGACACTTTAGTGCTGAACATACAACCATGACCCAAGCAAGAGTCATCACCTTTAGCGAAGAAGTGGGATTAATTAAAGGGGGAGATGAACCACAGCTGGCATTAGCCATGATGGTACAATCCATCTTTCTAAGCCAGTAGAAGGAAGGGGAACCCGCAGGATGTGAAATGCCCCTCTATCAGAGGCAATAACCATTTCAGTTGGCTCATGAACCACAATAGAGGGTTTATTCTGTCTCCCTCTGATTCAGATGAAGCCGGTTCTCAGCCTGGCTCACTTGGTAGGATTTTCATTTCAGATTCAGAAGGATTTGGTTTCAAGCTGCATGCTGTGACTTTGAGCTCATTTATTACCATAGAACCATAACATTATATGGCACAGAAGAAGGCCATTTGGCCCACCCTGTCTGTGCCAACAAGTCTAGGCTGACACTCCAGTGGAACGCTGGAGGTATGCTCTCTTGTGACAGGTGTCGTCCTTCAGATGAGACACTAAGCTGAGGTCACACCTGCTTGTTCAGGTGGATATTGAGGATCCCATGGCACTATTTAAAAATAGAAATAATTCTGGCATCCTGACATCTCTTGGTGTCCTGGCCAATAATTCCCTCAGATAAAAATGGTCATTCACTTCAAGGCTATTTGTAGGATATTGATGTGTGCAAATTGGCTGTCATATTTGCCTACAAAATACACAGTCAGGGCCATCTACTGCAGTTTATGAACAGCCAACTGGTGACTGTGAAGAAGCTGACTGGGTTTGGATGACTGATACTTTAGAAGTAAAGGACAAGGCTGTGAAATGGTGCTAGTTACACACAGTGTCTGTGGGCCAGAAATTCACTGATAGCAACCATGGTTCGTAGCTATACGAATAACCAAAGGGGGAAGAGGTATGAGTTTTACCTCAGGACTTCTGTGTTGGCCAACTTCAGCCAAATGTTTAACAATCTCAAATATTACAAAAAGCACAGCTAGGCTCATCAGCATCACCACACAATAGATTTACACATTGGCCTTTCAAGGGCACAGTATTTACAAAATAAGCTGCCATGCTTAATCGAAGTTTCTTTCAAAAGCTGACTAGTAGTAAGTACACAAAGACAACAAGAAGGTACTTTTTTTTTCGCAGGCAACAGTCACAAATAGTTCAAACTGTCTCTTTGGAGATGAATTAAGCATGAGCAATTTCAACAAGAGCTGGGGTGGTGTGGGAGAGAAGTGGGGGAGGAGGGGGGGGAATTTACCGAGTGGAAACAATTGCTCCCTGTGTCCAACCCCAGGTTGAAGGGCAAAACTGCATTGAAAGCACCTGATGTCAAAAAGACAAGCAGTTTTCAAAGGTCAGGGCCACCTGGAGTCAAGGTCTGCTTTATTCTAAGGAGGCAAAGGGAATGTTTTTGTGTAGGTTAGGGTTCTGGCTGTGCCGGTTCCGGCTACGCAGGGAGGAGAACATCATGTTGCAGCCGGGTACCTTGCACTTGTGCATTTCGCGGAGGTGCACGGTCTTGTAATGCACCCTCAGAGTCCCCTTGTTGCTGTACATTTTATGGCAGATGATGCACATGATCCCGCCGTTGCTAGTTGACGCCGATTGCAGTATGGAAGGCTCTAGGATCTCGCTGCTGGAGCCGGCTCCCCGGAATTGGCCCTCTGCCCTGTGAATGGATTCTCCACTGTCGCTGGCACCGTCAATATCGTCCAGCAGGATTCCCTCATCGCTCCCGGCTTCCGACTCCCGTGATGAGTGGACACTGCTGCCAGACTGGATACTGGAGGTGGTGCTGAGGTCCAAGACCATGTAGTCATCTGCGGTCCCCCTTCCGTACCCATTGGTGTGGGAGTCTTCTGTTCCGGCTGGTGAGCTGGCTTCGTCCCTCATGTCCAGCCCTATTCCATGTTGCCCGCTGTAGATCTTTGCCAAGAATTCTTCACGGAGGTCCTTGGCCAATGGCAGAGCTGGATCCATTCCCATGTCATCCAGTTCTTTGGTCAGCAGCTTGCGGTGCAGGTTTATATTTGCGCTGTGCCTGGAAGGAGCAAAAGAAGGAACCCGTTCAGCATTAACATCAACATTACAATAAACATCAGGGTTTTGAAACAGCGCAAACGGTGAGAAATGCACTGAAGACTCCACTGACCTTTTACCTAGTTATTGGAGTATTGGAATGACTTTTAATTGATTTTAAGAACAGGGGAAAATTGGCTGCCAATTTTATTTATCTGACATTACAAACTCTTGCTTAAGCTGCTATGAGGTTTGGAATGGAGGAGAGACATTTCCCTACAGGAAAAGGTGACACGTCAACATGTGCTAATCCAAGAGTTGCTCAAATACAGCCTTGGTACAGCTTTTAGAGGGTGGGGGGTTGGGGGGCGGTCACCTAATACTCTAAGTTTCAGCCAGTTATCATGTACAAATACGGTCTAAAGAGGGTCAGATTTTAGTTTGTGTATGAAGTTCATATTCTAACATAGTAAGAGTTAAGAGTTAAATAAAAATGTGTTCCTCATGTCACAGTTAAATGGGAAGATGGTAAGGTTGACATGTGTTCAAGTCAAAGGTCTTCTTCACCCAAAACTCTCTTGTGAAATCATGAGGTTATCCCAATTGAATTTACAGAACACAGCTGAGCTGTTCTCTAGCTCTTTCTTGGTTATCACACACAATTCTGTACACGCAACTGTATTGAGAGTCTGAGCAAAGGAAAATAGTTCCTCTCCGACCCCTTCCCCACCTTCTTTTATATGTTCCCCTGTGTTCTGTTATATGTTAGAAGGCAGTTCAATCGCTATGGAGTTTGGTTGATCTTAGCTTTTGCTTCTTTGGTTGATAGTTCAATAACGCTCGATTGTTTTATTGAATTGTATTTTTGACTTGCTTAACCATTAACTATAAATAATAATAATAATCCTTGCATTTGATATAGCGCCTTATCATGTCTTCGAGACATCTCAAAGCACTTCACAGAATACACTGTAAAGTTAATTGACTGTATATTTTGTGGGTGAAATGTGGCAGCCAGTTGCACACAGCAGTGTTCCACAAACAGTTGTGGATTGAGTGACCAAAATTTATTATTATTATTTTTTGAAGGGATTATTACCTACAGAAAAGCGATCCACCAACTGACTAACAACTGGGTTCCTATTTATTGCTCGGTACACAGAGGCATGTGGAGTAAGGAAACTTGCCCAATGTTTCGCCCTGCTGGGACTCAGACCCAGGTCCTCTCGCTTGCGAGGCCAGTGCTCTAACCACTAAGCTACAGGACTCCACAACTGTGTGTAGCACAGATGCATGATTGCTTTGGTGAATCAGTGTGAGGCAATTTACTAAGTGAGTCATATGCTGCATGCTGTGGAAGTTTGCAGGCGGTAGTTAAGCAGGATGTTTGATGTAGAAAGCTATGAATGGCTCAAAATCTGATTGAAATCTTTATATAAAATACAATGATCTGGAGTACTTTAATCTACACTCACCAATCACCTTTCCTGCAGCCCAATAAGCTTAGGGACCAGTAATTCAGCCAAAATATCCCAGCAAAAGATATTCAAAAAATGTAAGGGTATGTAAAATATTGTAATGGAAATAAAGGTGGAAACAAGCTGGGTCTTAAGGTTTGGTTGATGCTCTGCTCTTATGTTTATGAATTCACCTGATCCTCTTTGACTGAAATACAGCCTGGTAATGCAATCCTAAGTGAGTCTTATCCTGGATGTAAAAATATCCCATTGAGTCTCATGTAACAGTGTTTAACATTTAACAACAGTCAGGAGAAGGTGTCACATGCATCTTTATTGCATATGAGGTTTTAAGAACAACACAGATGCATTGACTCTAACAAGAGAGAGAGAACTGCATTAGTTAGCATAATACAGTCCTTTTCTGGCTTTGAAAAGATATTGTGTTGGTGCGCTAGATGTGACCTACTTATCATTAAAACTGATCCTACATGTGTTCTTATATTGTATTTAGAGACCTTCACAGGGGAATGAGAGGCTGGTGGTAGACATTGGCAATTACTGGAATATTGTGATTTCCTTTAAGATAATTACTGTACCATCATTACAAAAATCGCATGGTGACATCTCTGGGTGGGTTGCTGAAGATAGACCCCTACAATCTAAAGGCGGGATTGATACTTCCTGAAGCTCTTTGCAGGTCAGATTCCAAATGATATTTGAATTAGATTACACCTTGTCCCAGTCTTCAATTCTGGTTGGCTGAGTGATGTGCTGAAATGCACTATTAAACCATGGTATTCTGCTTGTACATGTCCCTTTTCCTTTTCCAGCAGCACAGCCCACTTTTTGTAATACATTTATGTTGATGTTTACTCAATTTGATGTTCTTGAACACTATAACAAGTCGGTCTAAATGATGCAGGTGAAATGTAATAACTAAACTAAGTTCTGCATTAGTGCTGGATTCAGGAGCTGATTAAGGAAGGGAAAAAGATCTCAAAGCTTTCTCAGTACATTAACAAAAACAGTTCCTACCAAAAACAAATCAAATATTTTCAGAGGCCCATTCAATAAACATTGGTTTCCCAAAAATGTCAGTGAAGATGGTAACCATTGTGGCCCAAGTCAGAGGTACCTTGACTTAGTTAAAAAAGTGACAGGTGAAGGTTTTCACCCATTACACCCTGATAGAATGCTATTTCCCACAAGAGAAATATTCAGGAAGAGGCATTGTGTGATAAAAGCACAATAACAAAAGACAATCACTCTTATGTTTTAGCAACGATGGACAGGCAATTTGAAGGAAGATTTCTGAATCTCTTTCCAATCTTGGGGAACTAAGCTCTGTCTGGTTTGGCCACAGGAGCAATGGACAGAAGACATGCGGGCTTGGACATAGTTTCACCCACAAAATGCACAGTACGCTATACTTTATAATATATTCTGTGAAGCGCTTTGAGGCATCTCAACAACATGATAAGGCACTATATCATATGCAAGGTTTATTATTATTAATCCCTCACACAAAAGGTGACAATCAATGAAGTTCAAAGGGAATGTAGCCTCAGATCGGTTTTACTATTTTAACTGTGTAATCTTTGCTTTCCATTTGAAGATAAAAGGCCCTATTTTCTATTGGTTTCTATTGTTCCTGAATGTGGTTTTGTCCCTGGAACCTTGTGCTGCTTTCAACAACACAAAAGACATGAAAGACACAGGGAGATGAACAAATGCCACTGAAACGATTCTTGTCCTTAATGCACATGAAACCTAAATAGCAAGTTAAACTGTTTTGCCAATTTTTACATTGATAGAGATTGACTGGGAAATCAGCGCATTAACTTCCTGATGCTGCTTGCATTCTGATATTCCTTCTTCGTGTGTGTGAACTTTCAGAGTCAAATTCATTTCAGTATTGAAGGGCTTTGTGGGCACAAAGATCGTTTAAACGAGAGCAGTAGGATTATAGTAGCATTCTTGGCATTACTTGCTGACAGCAACAGTACGAGTGTTTGTTTTTAAAACTTAGCCCTTGGTTTACTCACAGACCTCTCAGGTCTCAAAGTTATCAGTTTGATGTTGGTAATCACTGGAATTAATGATTAAACAGAAGAAAACCCTATTGCAGCATTTTAATAGGCTGCTTGGTAAGCATTTAACAGGGAGGAACAGAACAAATGATTCCGTGCTTTAACTTGAAAACTTAAAAGTCCCCATAGTACAGGACACCACAAAGATTTAAAAAAGCTAGCGATCAGTCACAAAAGTGGTCAGACAACACCAAGTTTGGGTTTTAAATGCTGGTAAATATCAGGAGAAGGGAACACTTGTGAGAAAGGTAAGGAGTCTCAGAGTCTCAAGTACCTGGGAAAGAATGATTTACACCAAGGGGATACAGTACTAATGTGTGTACATGCAAGATATGAAGGTGTGACAATATGATAACTGTCTGCAGCAGGCAGGGTAAAAGGTGATGTGATCTAAGCTAAACACACGGAGATCAATTAATAAAACCAATGGAATCAGAGACCACTGATGGAGGTTAATAAAAATGCAATGTAGACAATGTAGCTCTGAGGAAACTTCAGTTTGTGTCTCAGGTCAGCAAATGGTTGCTATCTAATAGAAACATCCCTTTTCTTTTGAGCCTGTTGCAACCAACATTAGAATAGCTGAAAAATCTATTAAAATTAAATTTGACAGTCCCAATAGAATGTCTGCAGTTATTTGACCCCTTTGCCCCCCCAACAAGGTTTTTAAAACTTGGCAAAAATTCATTCAGGAATTCACTGTCTGAGGACTTTTCTCCTGACTCAGATTAAGTGTGTGCAGCTCACTGTTAAATGCTTTTTGAAACTGTGCAATTGACCCTGCAAGCTGATAATAAATGAAGGGGAGGAAAAGCGATACTGACGTTTTGAGAAAGATAAGTTTAAATTCGCTCTGTGTGTGTAGCCCATGTGGTTTCTCTGGTTGGAAAATGATCGCATCAGCACATGCATCAGAACTGGGAAGGGCTGGCCTCTGAAAATACGGGAATCTTCAATAAACTGGTGTCGATAATAGACTTTCCTTCAAATCAGTGGAACATCAGTGCTCCCTCAGCACAGTCTCCAAACCTCTTGATATCACAGATAAGCTGCATTTTACACATTGGATTAGCATTTCTAAAGGTGAACATTATTTTAACATCAGACAGCCGCATATCGCTTTGAAGATAATTCTCTCCATTTGTTAGGTAGCACTTGTACCTCATTAAGAATTCATGCCACTGAAAGCTATAAGTGTTCGATGTAGGATTTTAACTTAGCTCTGTACTTTACCAATAATGTGTATGCGGGCATTTGACCATCATCTGTCATTTCACGATAAACTACTACTACTTTGTAAGATTAGTAAATGGTTATACCTGTGCGGTATTCTGTGTATGAGGTGCCTGAGAAATGGGATTATAAAAAAAAAGAAAGAAAAAATTAGTAAAGCTGCTCAATAACGTTCAGTCACACAACAAACCGGGAGATGAGTGAAGAAACAACTTATATAGTGTCGTCACCATCGGAAGCCTTACACCTGATGAGGGGAGGACATTGTTAACATGTTATCACACAACATCACAACAGAAAACAAGGAATACTGAAACGCCCACAGATCCCTCCCTCAGTTTGACAAAACCATGAGGCCAATTCCGATTTGGAAGGATGCCCATCCAGTGGAAACCCGGTTGTAAAATATTTGTGAAGCAAATACTCAAATAATTTTGTTTGCCCACAAAATATATAGTCAATTAACTTTACAGTATATGCCGTGAAGCGCTTTGAGACATCTCGAACACGCGATACGGTCCTATATCAAACGCAAGGATTATTATTATTGCCTTTAATTTGGGTGCGACAGCTGAATTACAGCTAATAAAACTGAGCTCCTCTTTCAGTTGCTGCAATAAACCCCATCCCGTTTACGTTTTTGTTTTAATGTTTACGAGCTGAAATTCAGGTTGACATTACACATTGTCAGCCGTTATCTAATCGGATGTTCCCCACTGTAATCGTTCATCAAGGCACTACATGCAACGCCAATTGGAGTTTCAACCCATTGCAATCCAACATCAAGGAGACTGCAGAAAAGATCACTCAATACTGGTGTTCAAATATATGGGGATTTGTAAAGGCTTTCAGAATGCAGCTATTCCCAGATCTGTCTCGTGTCATCTCACTTGAATTCCACTTGGGCATGGATCTCAGCCAATTTCCTGCTGGGAGCCTCCTGTGGAAATGAAATTCCAGTCCAAGCAGAGTTTGGTCAGATTGGTGTGAGATATTTATAGAGTATGCTAATATTCATGAATCCTTTCACAAATTCCTGCATATTAGACCACCCTGTCAAGATTCTTAGCAAACAAGAGAACTGTGTCCCCACCACCTTCCCTGATCTGCATTTGTAACATCAGCACTATGCTACTTTCCTTCAGACACGGACATCAACTGAACCCTGCCAATTCAGTGCCAGTGTACGTCAACTTTTTGTCATGTGGATTCACTCTGATTAGCAAGTGGAAAGCAGCATCTGATACAATTGAACCAATACCCAGTGATGGGCAGGCCAAAAACCAAAGGAGGTGCTTGGGATCAACAATTACCGCAAAGTGTAAGTCCCCTGTCACTTGCTTTAAAGCATTCAACGTTTATCCGAGAAAACTTATCTTATTCTTCCTCCTCTTCCCTTCTCCCCCAGAGGTGGCATTTAGGTTGAGGATTTTGAACGGTAACTAACTTTTGATAGTCTAACTGAATCAGCCATCCAAAATGTTTCTGAGGCTGTGTTCCAAGCATGTACTTGCAGCACAGTATATACAGCTGTGCTTTGCATCTGACCATGTTGGAGATATTGGGAGTCGTTAATGCTGATTCAGGGTGCAAAATCTTCTATTCCTAAAAATGACATTACTCATGTTGATGACCACAATCTAATTTGTAAAACAAAAAGGGTTTGGCTGATGGGTACAAAGTAGAGCATTGCAAAAGGACAGGTCAACGATGTCACCTTTTCACTATGAGGATCATAACATTATACCACTGAGATAGACCAGCCGGTTGGGCTGAATCAGACTGGCTTGGGCTCATCGGTGCTTCCTGAAGTCTTGCTGTACATAAGTCACCCCACCGAAGACTGTCCTAAAGAAAGCACTGCCATTAGCATCAATGAAACATTGATAGCCAGTTATAAACTCACACCACCACACTTCATAAATTTACCAGTGGTGAATCATCTCCAATGATGTGCTTAACACACACGGAATGAAACATCAGCACTGAAGAACACAATAGTTCATGTGTGCAGTCAGGTTGGACCAGGCCAAGCTGGTGTTCAATGTCGAGGAGATAAATTCATCTGCTGGACCAAGTTGAGCTTTGCAAACCTGGGTCATGCAATACTGAAATGCAAAGTGTAACATATTACAGCTTCTGAAAACAGTGAAGAAGCATAAGCATTAGTAAAAGTTGAGGCTAGCGGGTGCTACAGCAATCCACTGATTACGTGTGACCATGCATGGAGTAGAAAACAATCCATATAAATGAAAATACCTTTTTTATTAAACACTTGATAGAAACCAGCTTCTGCAGAATGACTGTAGCCATTTTGGCTTCTAAAAAGTCCATACAGTGAAATGGAGTAGACTCGATCTCCAGCCTGGTTTTAATTTGTGACCTTCAGAGTACAGAATGCCTTTCCCAGTTTTCCAACTCTGTATGTTTTCTATCATGCAACAGCTGCAAGAATCCATTTCCTGAGACATTTCTAATGCTGATTATCATCAAGTGGAATTAGCGAATGCATGGAGCTGTGGAACATTTGCTAATTCAGAACATTCTCTAAATAAACGAAAACATACTGTCTTTATTTTAAACCTTGGTTACCAGATGCTACTGCCATGTTTACAAGGTCACTATTAGTTCTGGAAATAATCAAATTTCACTGGAAGAAATATTTCAAGATTGACATTTCTAACAGGTCCACTTGTTAAGCGCTCCTAGCTGTGGGGCGCTATATAAATGCAAGTTGTTGTTTTGTGAGAAACGTGATATCCTGACATATTAAAACATGGTATCAGCCATCATTAATTGGAGATCGTGTCAAGACACTGGAGTATATTCTGACTTCTCTTGCCTCACCTGGGCTTTCAGAGCTTCGAGTTCTCATCTTGCGTCATTTCCTAATGATTGTCACTGTTAAGACAATTCTGGATATAATGCACACACACTCCTCCTCAATCCTTGCTGCAACAGTTTCTAATTCAATGTACCAGAAGAAACCATTTCAAAGAAACCATTATGTAGGAAAGAGCAAGGGTGTGCGCAATTAATCAGCCTGTGGGCAGAGGCCATTCCTCAACCTGCGATGCAGAAATCCTGGAGAAGAGGAATCCTCTTGGACTTGAAGATATGATAATAATATAATAATAATAATTATTATTATTAAGATTTCTGAGGCTGATGTTGTATTTACTGTATCAAGTGACTTTTGTAAAATGTTGATAACAGTAAGAAAACAATTAATGTACTTGAAATTCTCCTTTATCTGACAGATTTTACAAATTAGACTGTTCAAATCTATTACCCTAAATGACCTGGCTTCCCCCACTCCCCCTTATCTTCCTTCTGGGAAAATCAAGACTATGCTACACTTCCCTCCACATGGGCATATGATGGCCTTTAACAAGTACTCTAAACTAAATCTCAAATTTCTCACTGCTTATTTATCCTGCTGTCTTTTCCTACACTACACACTCATTGCAAATCACTTTCTGTATCATGCCCTTATGCTGTATATATCATGCAGAACCTCTCTATAAGCCTGGCTTAGGTCACTGTAAATATAATGTACTTCAATGGGGGTATAGTACAAGAAAGGCTGCCGAAAGGGAGAGTGGTCACAGAGTCTTGATACAGTACTGTTGAGTGTCGCACAGTGCAGATCTGAGCACCCATTTCACCAAGTGCTTGATACAAAGCTGGCACGAGAGCTCACTGAGCGAGAGCCGGGGAGAGACTCAAACACTGGGATAGGGGGCAGCCACTAATGGGCTGGCATCAGTAGCTAACTGAAGACCAGCAGGTTTGGAGGTCACATATCTACACCTCAGCCACAGGATTCAGGGCACAGAGCACCAGGACAAAGAGTGGCTGTGGATAATTGAAGGATTTGTAAAGTAAAAGAAAGAAAAATCTAGGAAGAAATTACACTACTCTCTTTAAAGCAGTTCTGCTCGCTTAAATATGGTTGCTTCCTTTGAAGGATTATACAGTTGCAATACATCATTTCCAGGTTAACAGTCATTATATATTATATAGGACCTGCACAGTATGTTATAAAGCAATTACAAGGGACAGTATATTTTACAAGGATTACTGGTCTCTATATTACATAGAGATTACACAGTCAGCATGTAATGTATGGGAGATGAGGAATATTAAAGATGGTGAAATGTAGGAATAGTGCAGTGTGGGATCATTTAAGGAAAATACTTTGGGAGTAGCCATGTGAATTATAAATGTATTTTGTGGTCTGACTCATTTCCACGTTCCTAAGTATGTATTATATACAGAATATTATTGTATATTACGGTACTGGAATTACATGGTCAACGCATGTGCTAAAATTATTTTCTTGCATTGAAAGTCACTCAACGGTAACCAATACTGGATTTATTTATATATGTTTATTCATTCTGTCCAAGAGGCATATTTTGTACTGATAAAGCAATCAAAACAGAAATGGCTGGAAGGCAGAATCCCTTTCTTTCCAGCTAAAGAAAAATACTTGTTACTATAAATTAAGGAGGAAAATAACAGTCAATTAAAGCTGCTTTAATGTGAAAAGAATCGCTCACACTGGTCACGCGTGCAACTCCCTCTACGCTCAAATTATTCACTTGAAGATAAGCTACTGCTAAAACTCTTATGGGGTTTAACTAATTTACTGTGCAGATACCGCATGTCTGTTATAATAACAGGTAGGATGTATTGGGGTCGACCATTTATCAGAATTAGACTTCTTTTCTCAATTCGCAGTGAATTACTCTGCCTACACCATTCCCTTCATCGCAGTCAGGCATCCCCTCAAGGCCTGTAATGTGGCAGCAAACAAAATTGACAGTCTCCTCTTGTCAGAGGAAAGGGGTGGAGGAGGGGGGCAGGTCTCTTGAGGTGTGTGGAAAAGTTTGCAGAGGAAGGGATGTACTAATGTGCCTACCTCTGGAGCGTTAATCATTCTCGCACTTCTCTCAATTTGGTAAGAGACATTTGTTTACCAAACCCATTGTAATGTGTGAATGAAGGTGCGAGGTAAACGGCAAAAAATATCTAAGTATAGATGGTAAATTTTCTGTCGAAACAAGAAATAGATCAGGGATAATTTTTTTTGTGGTGTGTGTTTGGATAACATGAAGGTCAGGCCTGTGTTCTTTGTGATCAGTAGAAATGACACCGGGGTCTAAAAATGCAGTATTTGTAACAGGACCTGCAAAATGTTCATAAATATAGAATCCTCACTGTAGCCAGATGTCGTTACGCTATGAAGCATTGGAGTGCAGTTCCCGTGGGTCGAAGTGACACACATCTGGTTACTAACAGGACTCAATGTTTCAAATCAGGCTTCCAGTCTTTTAGGGACTCTGCATTTTACATCCCAGCGTGTGATTCCTTTAAATTTCACTGCCACAACATATTATAATAATAATTAAGATTATCCTTGCATTTAGTACAGAGCCTTATCACATTGTTGAGATGTCTCAGAGCACTTCACAGGATTTACTGTAAAGTGTAATGACTGTGCAATAGAGGCAAATTTATAGATTTAAATATATATTTCATATCAATATATTTATGTATTATGTTACCCTGCCTCATATTCCCCTCTGAATCCAAATTTATCCCCAATTTCAATCTAATTCTTTGTAAGTCCTTCACTGAAATGATAAACAGAGATCCCGTTTACCTGTTCAGGTGGACATTAATAATCCCATGGCACTCTTCAAAAACAGAAGGGTGTTACTCTCATGTCCTGGCCAAAAATCCCCCAAATAAGACTGCTCGTTCACTGGTTGTGTGCAGTTGGCTGCCACGTTCATCCACAAAACACTTTATAGTGAAGCACTTTATGCTGTCCTCCCAACGTGAAAGTCTGTATACAAGATATCAGAATTATTATTATTAATAATAATAATGGCTGCTCATCTCATTGTTTGTGCAATGCTGCAGCTACAGATTAACTGCTACATTTGCCCTTGTACCTTTCACTTCATTTCTTATCAATTACATCGTGTAAAGCGCTTCAAGATTTTTATGTGAAAGGCACTTTACGAATGCAAGTTGCTGTAATCATGTTGATGGGGTTCCAGAACTGTTCTGTAGGGTTCAGGACAGCGGGAGCAGCTATTGCCTCATAAATTAAACAATTCTCTTGTTACTTATTTCGTGAAAGAGCCTTCATAACCCATCTCCTGCAGGAACCACTCGTGATCTGAAAACAGTTTATCCTCATGGGTGTTATGCATGATTAAAATCACACACTTGCTGCAAGGAAAATTGGGAGGGTATCTCAAAAGATTAGGTTTGCTTTTAGAGAGGTTGTTCTATGGACGGACATAATAGTCAGAGAGAGGAAAGCTTTTCTCATCACCCACGGTCGCTACTCTAAAGCCAAGAGCCGAAGATAACAAAGTACTGATTCTTCACTGCAAAGTGTCCTCCACTGTCGACAAGAAATTATAACAACTCCTCGGAGCAAACGGCAGCAATGAGTTCCGTGTACCAACGATACCAGCAAAATAGCAACCCCACATCCCAACCTTTAATGTATATAACTACAAATGAGCTACAGACTGCCTGCACCAATAGGAATTTACAACGCATTTGAGACTTCTTGGTACTGCAGCCAGAATTAGGTAGTACAATAGCGCACTAATGTAATCTATGTTATTGGAAAATTTATCATTGGATTCTGCTACCAATTTGGGAGAAATGATGAGTACCTCTGTATCAGTCATAAAGAATAATACATAATGAAGAGTGCTTTCACATAGTAATACATCTGTATTATATTCATGAAATTACTCAAAAATCAACTCTCTGCACTTTTAATGTTACCTGAACCCATTCAAGCATGTTACAAGCTTGAATCCAGACACTTGGGGTCCAAAATACAGAGATTTCTAATGTAAATCCTCAATTGAGGAATTTAAGTGGGGTTTCCTTCCACTAACCAGAAGTATCAGAAATTAATTGCGCAAATTAAAAATGCTTCAGGCGGGGGTCCTACCTGTGTCTATGCTACTCACTCAGCCACAAAACACGCAGTCACTGGACTTCACAATATATCCTATGAAGTGCTTTGAGACATCCTCAGGTATGAAGAACGCTATGCCAAATGTAAGGATTATTGTTATTATTGCAGGTTAAAGATCATGAGAAGATCATCAATGTAATACAATAGTGCGTTATCGGGGAAAACAGAGAGGACCAAGAGAGTTTGTGGCTCATTGGTGGCCACATGTCTTGTCAAGCTACAATGCTAGAGTCACTCATGCAGTGTGAGGAGAGCTTGTGACAACTCTTTGTGTAAGTTGTTATCATAGTTTACAAAGAGACAAAAAAAAATTGTCATTTGTTTTATAAGGGAAGGGAATTTATCCCATTGTCCTGGTCAAACAATCTCACCGCCCAAATAAAATCGGTCATTCATTTTATAAGATAGTGCTTAGGAATATTGCTGTACACAAATTAACTGCCACGTTAACCCACAAAATAAACACAGTCACACAACCTTACAGTATATCACATGAAGCATTTTTGAGATGTCTCGATAACATTATAAGGCGCTATAACAAATGCAAGGATTCTAAGGATTAGTATTATTTTGATGGCCTGATTCACATACAGTGGCCTTCAATTAAAGGTAGTTTTGTGTTAAAATTAGGTGTTTCTTAATTTACTAATTTCACTCCAGAATTTGCAGATCTTTCACTGAATGTACTGGTAACAGCTGGTTCTTCACATAGCATGCAGCAAATGTGGCAAACTGCAGCATGTAATTGGAAAACTGCTTCCTGAATTAATTTAATAAGTAAGTTGGAAAAGAACTAACTTTAAAAGATGAGCAGATTTAGATGTCTTTGATTGAGGATTCTTTGTGTTGGGATTATTTAATTGGAAGAAATTTCCTAAAATGCATGTCATGTTTTTATTTTATCAGGATTATCTGGCATCTCAAATTAAATTAGCTGCTATATCAAATCGAGGATTATCATTATTATTATTAATTCCACTCAAAACAACTTAACTGCTAAAAAGGCTACAAATCTGCCAGTAAGTGCAAATGAACGATTGCTGCGTTTATATCACGAGGCAGTTAATAATAACAATAATAATCCTTGCATTTGGTTGAGACGTCTTAGAGTGCTTCACAGAATATATTGCAAAGTGTAGTAACTGTATATTTTGTGGGCAAAATGGGGCAGCCAATTGCACACAGCAGTGTCCCACAAAGAGTTGTGGATTGAGTAAAATTTTTTTTGAGGGATTATAACCTCTGAAAATAATTGACTAACAACCATGTTCCTACTGACTCCTAGGTAAACAGTTGACCTGATGTAACAAATGCAACTTATCTAAAACTTTGGAGCCTTTATTCTCTTCTGGTCCAGCCTCCTCATGCCCATTCTCGCCAGGCTCCACTCACTCCTAATACCCCAGCAGACTGACTTGACCTGCAAATCTTTTCACAATCTTTCCCACCTTTCTTTGTCCTTTCCTATCACCTGTTCTCCTCCCATCCCCTCTGCTTTTCCAGCTCTGGTCTACAGCTTATTCGAGACGACATCTGGCATGAAGGCCCTATAACAAATGCAAGAATTATTAATATTATTATTGTGCATTAAAATGCCACAAAGCTGCTTCCCAGCAAGAAGAAGCCATTGGTGCAGCGGGTGAGCACCACGTGCAGGCAGGCTGGGGGCTTCTTGATTAATAAACTTGAGAGCTGCCTCATGCAACAAACCAAAGCAACAGCATGATGAAGTACGAAGCCAGGCACCAGCAAGCAGGATCCTGCAGACTGCTTCACATTCTTATTGCACTACTTGGAAAGGCAAAAGAGGGAGGAAGGGGGAAGAACACAAAAGGTGAGGTGATAGCGAGACTGGGTCTCTGCGAAGTGCAGTGAGAGGCGCTTTGCATTTGCAACTGATTAGTATTAGATGATAAAAGTGTTTTACGGTAATCACCGGCAGTGCAGTTGAGAGAGGAGAGTTTCCTGTGGTGCTTGATGGAGATCAGTTGTGGCAGAAACAAACAGGCTAGAACGAGAAAGCGGTGACAACCTGGAATCAATTCACGTCGACCAAGAAAGCTCCTGCTCTACTTTCTCTGTGTTTCCAGTGGGAGAAGCAGATATATTACATTCAAACATATTCTGATCCATGCATGCTCCAATATAAGGGGCTTTGTAGCTTCAGCGTTTTATATAATGCTCCATCCATATTTATCTTTCCAAATAGAATTACATGATCTTTTAATGTCCAACTGAACAGGCAGTTGGGCAAGCAGGTAACATCTCATCTGAAAGGCGGCACCTTCTGTAATGCAATGTTACTCAGAACTGCTCTGGGATGTCAGCCATGAGCTGTGAGCTCATGGCTTGCAGTTCTGTGCCACCACTTGTCTGGAGAATGATGCCAGCACATGAAAGGGCTGTGGAGGAGAAAACCCCTTTCAGTTACTTGAACAAAATAATTTTGCACTTTATAAAATGTTGTTCCTCTAATTCAGCCGGTTCCAGTGTCTGCCTTGTCTGACCCTGTGGAGTCGGGTTTGAAGTTACACACTCAGCTCAATGTGCCCATGTTTAAGATGGTGTCACTATGGCAGGACTGCTCCTCTAGTTTTGGTGCAATTGTGCAGCCAGATTCGCCCGCAAATACACAGCCACTCCACTTCACAGTGAATCCTGTGAAGCACTTTGAGGTGTCCTCCCAATGTGAAAGGTGCTATATCAAGTGCAACAATTGTTATTATTATTATTATTATTACTCCCCTGCTGTTACAACTTGAAAAAAAATGTCTAGTAAGTTTTAAAAGGCCGACTGCATCCAACGTATCTGCAATTCTACCACCAACAAGGCTGACTCAGGAATAACATTCACTTAAAAGCAATGGGAGCAAGAAGCTACCATCCAGAAAGAAACCCTGTTGTGTTCTTATAGTCGCAGAGAATCGGTGTACAAGATACAGATCACACTGCTATATGCTGTACTGTTATCATTGGAAACTACATGAGGTGGGTTTATGTTCCTCTTTCTTTCCTCAAGTTGATATGCTTTCTCTCCGACCAAAATGGGCTGATTGTTCCCTGGTCAATAAAATAAAAGATAAAATAAATGCTTCCCACAGGAAGCCCTGATCATCCCAAAAGAACAGCAACTTGCATTTATATAGCGTCCCTCAGGCAGGGTAGCGTCCCAGCCTAGCCTGCTCTTGAGCACCTCCTCATCGTCTGATACAGAATCATAAGGACAGAGGACCTGGGTATGGCTCTCTAGCCCTGCTTTGGCTGAGGGATGTGTGCGGCAAGAGGACTTTGAAAAGGAAATAGAAATCTAAGAAATACAACACACTACATCCAAGCCAACATGCGTACGGGCTGGGACTGGGGTCTTCCACTTGTCTGCTGTTCCAGGGTTTTCACTGGGAAAGGGGGTTGGGGGAAGAGTGCATATAATAAATAATAATCCTTGCATTTGGTAAAGTGCTTTTCACGTGTTCTCGGCGTCAATGTGCGCAAAACTGAGGCCCTCCTGATTGGCTCACGTCAGCTCTCCTCGCCGGCCTTCCCGGCATCTCCCTCCACAAGCTGCAGGTCATTCAGAACTCTGCAGCTCGTGTACTGTCTCGCACCAGGCTTCGGGACCACATCACTCCCACCCTCGCTCGCCTCCCCTGGCTCCCCATCCCCCAGAGGATCGAATTCAAGATCCTCATCCTCACCTACAAGGCCATTCACGGCCTTGCTCCCTCCTACCTCTCTGACCTACTATCCCCCTACTTACCTGCCCGTACCCTCCGTTCCTCTGGCTCCGGTCTGCTCCACATCCCCCGGCCCAACCGCCCTACCATCGGTGGTCGGGCCTTCAGCCTCTCAGCCCCTAGGCTCTGGAACTCCATCCCCCAGTGCCTTCGCCGCCTCCTCCCTTTCCTCCTTCAAGGCCGGTCTCAAGACCTTTCTCTTTGACCGTGCCTTCAGCTCCCCTCTCGACTCTCTACCCCCTCCTCGCTCCCTCCCTTCCCTCCACTCATCCTGACCATTTCCCCCCTCCTCGCTCCCTCCCTTCCCTCCCCTCACCCTGACCATTTCCCCCCTGCTCGGGTCCCGACCCAACTGTCCAGCGCCCCAGGATGTCCTCCCGAGTGAAAGGCGCTCTATAAATGCAATCTTGTTGTTGTAATTGTTGTCTCAAAGCGCTTCACAGAATAGAATGTAAAGTGAATTGACCGTATATTTGTGGGCGAAACGCGCCAGTCAATTGCGCACAGCAGTGTCCCACAAACAATCGTGGATTGAAAATGACCAATTTATTATTGTTTTTTTTGTTTTGGAGGGATTATTATTAAGCTCTGTGTGGAGTAAGGAAACTTGCCTAAGGTTTCGCCCTGCCGGGAATTGAACCCAGGTATCTCGCTTGCAAAACGAGTGCTCTAACCACTGAGCTACAGGACTCCACATCGATACAAAAGAGAAGGTTCACAACTGAAACAAACAAATATGTGTTTCACCTACAAAATATACAGTCAATCCACTTTATGGTATATTCTGTGAAGCGCTGTGAGATGTCTGAACGACATGATAAGGCGCTATATTAAATACAAGGATTATTATTATTATTACTGCACTGGTTTGAATTGCATTCCTGGTGAACCCACCTCCTAAGACGAGCTCGGTCTCCAGTGCCGTTTGTTTCAATTGTGAACCTTCTTCTCTTTCTTTTGTATCGATTTGGCACCAATATAAAGAAAGCATTAAAGGCTGTAAACTAATCTCAGTGTTAAGTTCCTGTCCATGAACCATTTTGGCTTGATTCATTCTGTTTCTGACATCCTCTGAACTCCTCAATTAAATTACAGCCTATAAACTGACTCACAGGTATCCAGAATACCATATAAATGACTCGACTCACAAGTACAAAGTGATTTGGGGACCAGTGTTTAAGTTTTCAAGTGTAACATCAACCTGAGACCTGCTACATCCTGACCCTATGCACGGGCGAGTTTCCCATTCCCTTTGCCCGTAAAAAGGTTGAAGTTCTTGTCAAAGCATTTCTTGTCTTGAACCAGTTACATTTCCAGGCTAGTTACTGGTATATGGTCCAGACAAATCAGAGAGCTGCCAAATCTAGGCTTTGAAAAAGGTCTCATCTTCTGCACCAAGTGGGTTTGCGTAACTTTGCCCGGTGAAGGCTAAGGACCTTTTTTCAATGAAAGTTAAGTGTGTGCAAAGTTTTTACGCTCCAGTTGCATTTTTAGTAACAGAGATGTACGTCTATCCTTACTAATGGTCATTGACATTACATTGTTTCACAGAGCAGTTTTGGATAAATTCATATAGGAAATTATAGTGGGTGGGATGTGTGTGTGTGCGTGGGGTGGGGGGGAGTGGGGTTCAAATGAAGGAAGCTAAAAGATGCAATTGGTTTAAGTGGCTTTGTCAGAATCCAACAATGCAGCACTGAGAAAGGAATAAGAATGCAGCAATAAGAAAGACTTTCTTATACTGTACAATAATACTTGTATTTGGAACTTGCCTTATCGCATCGGAAGAACGTCTCAAAGTGCTTTAGAGGAATTACTGTGAAATGGAGTGTATTTTGTAGGCAAACATGGCAGCACAATTACACACAGCAATGTCCCACAATAGCCATGAAATGAAAGACCAATTTTATTTTGGGGGAATTGTTGGCCAGGACACCAGGAGAAACTTCCTTCTTTTTTCGAATAGCGCCATGTGATCTGTAATGTCCATCTGAATAGGCAGATGGGACCTCGTTTAATGACTCATCCGAAGGACCCTATTTAAGGAGCATGTAAAGAAAGAGGTAAGAAAGACAGTGTTGGCTCCAAATTCCAGTATCACAATTATAGATTGTGGAATGATCACGGAGAATTTCTAAAGAGACAGATGGCAGGGAATGTGCAAGGCTTAATCTCTGTAAGAAGAGGGGGCAGAGCCCCTTTAATTGTTTGTCATGCTAATAACCAGGAAAAGAGGCAAATGGCTGGACAATTGTGGCTGCTCTAATTCACATGGCCCAGTGAAAGGGTTAACTCCGGAATCCGCATCCTCCCTCACGAGCCTTCAGCGAGTTGTCAGCCCTAATGCAAGACCCACGTTGGAGCTTCATATCTCCTTGATCCCAACCAAAGGAAAAAAAAATTTCAATAAAATACTTTTACCATTTTAACAGTAAAGAACTCCTGGGATTGGCAAAGTGCTCAGTCTATTCCGAGGAGAGGAGAAATCAGCAGCTCAAATATAATTAACCTTACATTCTCAATGCAAACTGCCTGCCATGCACAGGAGCTCTGGAGTCTATTAGTGAAGTTTTTAACGACCACCAGAGCAGACAGCAGTGGTCAAAATTGGCTGCTGCCATTTTTTTTAGAATTATGATTAATGACACTAATAATCTAGATGATTACTGATATGTGTGGCTCCAGCAGTTTATCATATTGCACTGGCTGCCAACAACCACAATAAACATGCTATCATTTACCTCGCTCCGACAGTCAATCCTTCTCCTCAGGTCACCCACAAATGTATGTGAATTACCTAGCAATAATGCTTCATTTAATATTTCGTCCCTTCTAAAGAAAATTGGACGGCGCAGAACCCTCCCCAACCACTGCTGACTTAACCCTTTCACGAGCACTGCATTCATCTTCACGCTGCACAAATCTCACGTCACTCAAAGCAGTGCTATCGGCTCAATGAGGGGTTTCCACAGTAGTCGGGAAACGCTCGTATGGATAATTCTGGTATAAGCTATGCGTTTCGCCCCCGTATGGTGGTGTGACCTTTCTAGTGTATCATTTACTTCCTATTACTATTTATTTTGCCCACAAAATCCACAGTCACAGTTAATCCACTTTACAATATATTGTGTGAAGCGCTTTGAAACGTCTCAATGACGTGATAAGGTGGTATATCAAATGCAAGGATTATTATTTTTTGTCACCAATTTTTGCTCCTGCCTTCCTCTCCTGAAGGATTCCTTTTCCTTTCCAATGGGCAGTTCCATTGTGGCAG